TTTTTTTTTGGACTATGTATTCAATTTCGTGATTTAGTTTAACCATGATCGATGAATATCATGCGTAATGTTTAATAAATTGCATCCGTTACAATTATTATTATTAGGATAAAGAATAGAATAGAATACGTGGGTGTGGGTGTATGTATATGTATATGTATATGTATACATATACATTATATATATGTAATATATATAGCATATACATATACATTATATATGTAATATATAACATATATATACATTATATATACATTATATATATATATAATATATATATATACACATACACATATTATTCTCGGACTGAATAAATATTTCTTACTCTACTAAATCTATTAAGTGTATATTAATACTGTTTTATCATGGAAATTTTACATTAAGCTTTTGTGAAATTTTGTGAAATAAACGTCAGCATTTTTTTTTATTTTTGTAAGAAATAATTATTTCTTGTGTTTTCGTATTCCCTATTCTCATAAAATAAACTTTAGTTAACATATACTGTTGGCCATGAATATTAGGACACTTGCTGATATTTAGTATAGGTTAAATGCTGTTATTTTCTACTTGCTTTATTATAAATTATCATGTCACAAAGTATAAAGTGAAATTTATTATTTTTCAATAAATGTATAACAAATAGATGTTTTAATATTTACGGCCGGCAATGTAATTATAATTCTATAATGCATCTTTGTTGAATCAATTAAATAAATCATTACAAATAATTTCTATTGAAGTGATCTATTTCAGAGGGAGACGAATAATTAAAAATTTTATTTACTTATTTCCATAATTATTTATAGAGATGCTGTTTCATGATAATTCTAGAAAAGATAGTTTTCGATATACGAATTGACAAATATTAACATACCCTCAATTTATAAGTGATTGAAAAAAGATTTGTGAGATTGGTTTAGGTTAGGTTTAGGATTACTTTTTCTATTGGAATGCAAATTTAACGTTGCGTAATGAAAAGAGTGTAAAAAAAACAACAATATTTAAACCAAAATCCATCGTAATAATAATAATATTACAACGAGTGTTCGTCGTAAATGGCATCGAGAATCAGCAAGAAATAGATGATTTCAAAATATCATTCGATATTTCTCCTATCGGAGAACGGGAGAAAGTGGCAATTGCAACAAAGCGCTCGATAATTAATACATCGATCCAATTACTCGTCTTTCTGTCTGTATCTTCTAGTCTCTGAAAGAGAAACAACTGATAATATTGAGCCATCGTGTTTCTACATTGAAACTACTCCAATGGCAAATATCGTATTACATTATCACTTTTTAATAGGACACGGCTCTACAAACATTACGACTGTCTACAAACATTACGAGTTATTAACGATTGCGTAAGTTGTTTGGTGGAACGCTTATTAACGCTTTCATTTGCATGATCCGTGCTGTCACGGCAGCGAAACAAGCAGAATGCCTCTGTGGGGACACGTGGACAGAGCGAAAGCCGGCCGAACGATTTCGAGGCAGCAACTTCGTGTATATCAAGAATCGAATCGGCACGTCGAAGCGTACTCGAGTTGGCCGACCTCCATCACTTGTTCGACAATTTCCGTGCAGCGGCCGACGCACGCCTCGTGCTTTTCCGGGTCGCCGACGGAAGCATACGAACATCCACGACGAAAAACAGAGCCACCAATCCGAAATGGGAAGTGACACCAACGCCAGGAACGTGTTTACTACCATCTTCCACCTTCCCTACATTTTTCTCGACTTCTTTCAAAATCTTGTGCAAAATAAAACTGTCTCGCGCGAGATTTACAACAACAGAGTAACTTTTTCATCAGACTCTGTATTTCATTTCATCGTGGTATCAAATCTTTGCAGTCACACGGGAATGTGGCCATTAAACGCCATGCTGAATTTCATACACATGGATCTAATTAATTGTAAATGTAAATGCGATATAAATGCTACAGTATACGATGTATATAATAATTACGCTAAAAGATACGATTAAATACCGATGAAACAAATATTGATAAAACATTTTTATATTATAATTGTTATTGAAACTTTCAAAATTTATTAGGTTATAGCTCAACGGTATTTTTTGCTTACTTTACTAATTTCAGCCAATTACAGTTCGCTGAACTGTTTGGAAAATACGGTCTAACAGGCATTTTATAATAAATATCAATCAAAACGTCTCATTTTATTAATCTTTCAATTAATCAATTTTAAATAATTATTGCAGCAATTTTTTTACAGACTTGCGAGATTCAAGTATAAAAATAATTATATTGGAAACGTACGGCGATGGAGAATGAAGTTATAACTAGAAATAGATAACTAGAATAACTAGAAATAGTATAAAGATATATATCATTCAAATCTACTTAATTAGTAATAATAATAATAAATACATTTTTCAATCTGAACAGAATTGTCCAAATGAAAGAAATATTTAAATTTATATTTAAATATTCGTGGAAAAATTTCACGGAAGTGAATTGATAAAAATTTTACAAATGGAACTTTCACGTTACGATTCTGCTTTAAATAGCCGATGCTCGAGTAATAATCCGCTTGTAAACTAACACTATCCCCTGTCGCAACTAGTATCATTCCTTTTCTTCTTTCTTGCTAATAATAACGCCGACATTAAATAGGTTGCAAGCCGATTAATTCGACCCTTATCGGATCATACGCTCGGAAGTGTGCAAATTAATTTTTTCCGCAACGAGCTACTCGTTACTTTAATCGAACCATAACTTTAAGTGAACTGTTCGATTTGATAATCCATAAAATTATTCTTATCGTTCTTGTTGCAAACTGTCATCCGTTGAATCTTAGCCGCTCGTTTTATTTCTCTTTTCTTTATCTAATCTAAGTTGTAGCTAGCCATTTAATTTTCTCAACACATTTCTTTACTACATTATCGCATCATTATATTAGCTTTTTATTCGAACGCTTCGAGTTCAATTAATTTGAACAGAACGATATACTAAATATTAGGTAAATATTAAAAATCAATTTGCGGTAAATTTTTTAGGACCAAAAAAAAAAGCAAAAAATTTTCTTAACTGTTCTGAAATTTAACATAAATTGGTATTTTCATTACACTTCATTAAATATAAATTATATGAAGTGTTTTGTAACTATAGAGGTTTCTTATTTTATAAGTTTCATCATTTAGTAATATCTTCATATGACTATAAACATTCGATGAAACTAAAATGCAAAGTTTGATAAGAAAAAAAGCTTCGTTCGAAAATTTAAGGTTATGTATAAATATTCGTTAATAGCTACTTGTAACATTTCAATATGGCCACCGTATGTAGCCGTTTAAGCAGCCGGTAGAGAAATCGCAAGAGGCAAGAGGTTAAAAAGAAGGGAAAGAAGAAAGGATGACAAGTAAAAAGCGGAGAAAGGAAAAGAAAACTGAAATCGATCCAGCTTTAAGAGAATTAGACAGTGCGGTGAGTCCCGCAGAGCGGGGTCACGCGCTCGATTCTAATTGTACCTTTTAGCTTTAGGGCTCTTACCCGTTCTCTCTGGAAAGAACAATAACACTTGCGTGCCGGTGTACGTCCCTGAACATGGTGGTGGGGCTATATAACGCGGAGAACGAAACGGAGCAAAAAGTGGGGTGACTCGACGGTAGCGGCGACGGCGGCGGTAACAACGACAAAGCAAGATGTGCAGGTGGTACACACAGAGCATGGCGCCAGCATCGCCCTCGCGAAATCATGAATGAAAACGGGCGAGCGGCCAGCACTACTGCGTGCTATCATCTACAGCCACCGCCAGCGTATGGATCTCTTCTCGT